TCAACCCAACCGGTTGGGTTGGGTTGGGTTGGAATAAACCTTGGGTTGGGTTGGGTTGAAAAATTATCAACCCGACCGGGTTGGGTCGGGTCTCGAATTAAGCCTTAAAATTTTCGGGTTGACCCGACCCAACCCGATAATACTTTATTTTTATTTTTTAAATATATATACATATATATATTAAAAAAATAAAAATAAAGTATTATTGGGTCAGCCCGAAAATTTTAAGGCTTAATCCAAGACCCGACCCAACTCGGTCGGGTTGGGAATTTTCCAACCCAACCCAACGGTTGGGTTGGGTTGGTCAGGTTCATTGAGTTGTCGGATTTTTTGAACACCTCTAGAGATCAAAATGAACCAAAGTTTAAAGTACATGACCAACCTAACATTTTAACAAAATAAAAATAAAAATTGTGATGGCTTAATTTTTTATTTTTTTATTTTTTGACAGGAACATGAAAGAAGTTAATAAGAATACAGAGGTTTCTCACTGAGAACAATTCTATTTACAGCTGGAGGACAATCCTCCAGCCACACACAGTCCAAAGAGCGAGAAAGTGCCAAAGTCGCCAGCTTGTGAGCCGCAGCATTTCCTGTACGAGGCGTGAAGCTAAACAGAACACCACCAATAAGGGAGCAGAGGGACCGAATATCAACAAGAATAGACCCCACTTCCGACAGATCCTCTACCATCTTGTCAAGCCCACGGAAGCACTGCAGTGAGTCTGACTCAAGTTGCAAACGGAAGAGGTCGGCATCAATAGCAAGCGAAATCCCCGGGTGCAAAGCCAAAGCCTCTGCTTGATCCACCGAAGCACACCGCGGGAGAGAGGTAGCAGCAGCAAGAAAAACCTCACCCCTAGCATTGCAAATAATTATCCCTAAACCACCCCGACTCGGGACAGCAAGGAAACCAGCATCTGTATTAAGTTTGAAAAAGCCGTCCGGAGGAGGAGACCATCGAACATGAGGCTGATCCCCCTGTGAAGCCGCAACCGACAACCGCAGGGAATTGGCCACCCGGTAGGAACGAACATAATCCGACGCCCATAAGCCAAGAGAACCCGGAGGGCGCGCCCCGAAATTCCGAACACCATTACGAAAATTCCAAATCGCCCATAAAAATACCGACAATTCCTCAAAAGCTGCACGGGATAAAGATTCCTGAAAGGAGGATAATAAGAAGAACAAACTGGGAACCGGTCTATGTTGTAACAGCTGGGCAAAGTTCGATTGTGACCAGAACACCCGTATCACCTCACAAAACCAGAAAACATGAAAACTATCCTCCCCTGGGCATCCAGACAAGGAGCACGCATCCACAATATCAACCCCGCAACGCTTGAGCGCACTACAAGTTGGAAGGCAATCAAGACACAAACGTCAAATGAAAATTTTAACCTTGCTAGGAATCCGTAAAGACCACACCCCCTTCCACCACCGCATCAGAAACTCCATAGAAGAGGACGAGGGGTGGGCCTGGGCAGTAAGATGTCGTGTAGCAATATAACCACTTTTAACAGAGAAGATCCCAGTTTTGTCAAAATGCCAGATAAGTTGATCCGGCCTGCCCCGAGAGGGAAGCGGAATGGACAGGATAATTTGAGCCTCCTCAGCATCGAAAGAATGACAAATTAAAGGTTCATCCTAACCACCCGAAGCGAAGAATAGATCACAAACCCGACTAGAAGGAGGGAGTCGAGGTGGAGAACGTACCTGGAGAGCAGAATCTCGAGGAATCCAGTTGGCAGAGTAGACGGGTATCGATGTGCCATCACCCACACGCCACCGACAACCAGACAGCAAAAGCGAACAGCCCCAAAGCAAACTACGTCAGATGAATGACGGATCCCAGCCAAGCTGGACAGCCATAAAAGAACCAGTGGGAGGAGTGTTGCAAGAATAGTAAAAGGTGAAATATTACATGAAGAATTCATCAGGCTCACATTTAATGAGGTTGTCCAAAATTTCAAACATGTGATTTTCTTTACTTTTTAAAATTGGGTGGGAAATAAATGGTTTCTATTACAATATTTTATATGGTATTTTTTATTTGAGTAGAAATGATGAATAGTCGGTAAGATGAATATTTAATCGTAACAAAATCTACTTCTTTTAATACAATAGGTAGGGGGAAGGATTGGAATTCATGATCTTTTTGTTATAGACAAGCAGTAAACTAAGAATATTTTTTAAATGCTACGGGACACATAGTTACATTCTTTTAAAACCATTTTTTTCAAAAGTTTTGAATCTGGTTCATAGATAAGAGAATGTTAGTAAAAGTTTTAAAATAATTATTGAAAAACTATATGACCTTCCAAATAAAGAATGAATGAGAATAAAATTGATGAGGTTTTAGAGGAGGGAGATTACTTTTTAGGGAATGATCTACAAGTCTGAACCGCTAATTAATTTCATTCCTATATTTTAGTAAATACCACTTTTATTTTTATTTATTGATTCATATTACAAGTAAACGAAAATATAGTTGTTTTCAATATTTTCATATATGTATTTGGTAGTAGATTTGAACAATTTAAAAATTTGTACAAGATTAAATATTTAGTTAAATGTACAATAATATTAATTGATTTATTGACCTATATGTTATAAATTTTGTAGAATTATTATTTTACAATATATTATATTTTACATTTTTTTAGTTTTAACAAAAAAAAAATAAATTGAGTTTATAACATGGTATAATATCTTTATAGAAAATTCAAAATCTAAAAACGCTGCAAGCATAAAAATGTTGTTTTCTAAACTGTTTCGATCACATCATTCGAACAGTTTTAAAAAACAAAATCTGATTTAGTGAATCGGAAAACAACAAACAAAATCTAGATTCCAATTTCAAACATTATGCGCCATTTTTGGTGGGTAGATAAAGAAACCTTTCCCACAATTGGGAGGGTGTGATTATGCCTCCAATTTAATATAATTAAGTGGGTAGGTGGTTCAAAAGTTTTCATTTTACTTTTTAATCTGTTTTTAAAATATTGTCAAATTAATATAATATTCTTTATAGTTTTTAAAAGTTTTCAATTAATATAATATTCTTTATAGTTTTTAAAGTAATATTAATAATAAGTTAAATTAAATAAAAGAATTCCTTATTTGTTACTTAAAATTTTTTCTTAAAAAAATCATTGTCTTTTACTTTCAATCTCTTTTTTTCTAATAAAACTCAAATCGAAGAAATACAAGCTCGATTTCAAATTTTAAAATGGATTCTCAATTTAGTTTAACTTATATACCATAATAAAGTATATACAAAAATGTGAATAAATTTCAAAATATTACATAAGATCGATGAAGTTGATGTATCATATTGTGGTCATTTTCTCACAAGAATATCTACGATAAGCTCGAGGTACAATAATGTATGATGGATGATGGATTATATCATT